TGATTCGTCCACAATTTATGACCCGTTTTCCTGCGTCGAACTGGCCGGTTGCCACCGTTCCTCTCTTAACAGTTCGCATTATTTCATCTGTTCAGTTCTGTACTTTTCCGATTGTACTGTTCTGTTTGTTTGAGTTTGTACGTTTCGGTCCGACTGATCTGCTCTTTGAATCCAGCTTCTGTTTTAGTTGTATGAATCCCTTGTATGGTTCAGAGTTCGGTGGTTCTGGAGTTCTGTAATCATAAAAGCATACTAGAACGGATCGATCTTAATACGCTTGTTTTTTTATCAATAGAGTACCACGCACATAAATCTGCGTTCCTTCATTGTTCTTTCATGACCTAGTGAGTTGACGTTTGTGAGTCGCGAAAACGAGAGGGAAACGAGAATACACAGCAAGCAATTGCGAAGCGGATACTTACCTTTATCCCATATGTACGGAGGAGGTACTAGTCAGACCTTAGAAAAGAATATTTTGCGCTTACTGCATGACTTGCTGGTCCTACTGTGTGTTCCAGTTCTGCAATATTCTCCGCTTATTACGTTGTTTTGATTATTGAGGCGGTTTCTTTGATTCGCTTTGTTGACCTGATTCCCTTTGTTTACTGAAGCACTGCCAACGTCGACATTTTAATACCACTTTTCTATCGCTGATTTGTTGGAGACAGGACGCCCGCGTTCGTGTACTGTGTAACATAAGTTCAAGGTCAGACTATCTTCGCTATAATGTCGAGTGTTTTCGTGGCTTGCCGATACCGGCATGCGTGGCTGCTAAGGCTTATTCTAGTTCCTCATTACAAACTATGAGACTGTTGAGCGGTTGTATTCTCAACCGATGACCTGCGCTGGTCTCTCTGGAGCGCATCCGCACGAAAATTGCTATTTTTACCAATGGGTTACTGGGTTCCGTGCAGCGTAGGTCATAGTTTACTAAGTCTTCTCAATACGGTAAGAAGTTCCCTGATGAAACATTTAGGCCAAAACCATGTGGAAGGCTTGCATATTTCACGTGGACAATTGCATGCCGTTGAAACGTTGAGAATACATGTTAGCTTATTTCTACAACTATTTTTTATTACAAAAATTGGGATTGTGTTTTTATTTCTGTGGTTTTGAAGTTATTTCGACCGAGCACCACGCTTTTGACTGACAGTTGGGCTAATCAATAATAAAAAAGATAGAAAAAGATAGCTGTTCAGCTGTAGCATCCTTTCGGTACTTAGCTGCCACTAGAAGGAAGCACAAGGGCTGAAATATTTCCAGGTTGCCTAAGTTTAGACAGGGCAGTCGAGATGCTGAGGTTGGGTTAGTACCACGAACCTTCCGGTTCGTTAAATGGTGCCTTAACCATTGAGCTATCTCTGGCCAATCAATACATATTGCCATCTAGTGTAGACTGTATGGTAAATTGAGGTGGTCTCCATATACTCCATTATCAATAGACAGATTTTCTTGAAATTTTGGAGCTGCAATAGTTAGTAGATCGACGCTAGTCTCAAATATGACTTGCAAAAGGTTGCTGACCAGCAAGGGCAAATATGTTAGACGCTAGTTCACAAGTGAAGTGGGTGCGTCCGAGTGGGTAAGTTGTACCCACTCATGGACTGAAAATTCAACGCGCTAGGAGACCATGTATTTTGTGCCAGAAACTTGTTTTCTTCGATCTGATGTGACGTCTGGTGCGTATGGTGAATTTTTTTTCATCCGAGTCCCAATCGACACAAAATATATACTATTTTCCGCTTCTGATTAACCGAAGTGCTTGATTGCAGTTTTAAGGGTTTATAGGGTACGTTACAAAGTTTCAGCCGAACCGAGATACGTTAGATTACGTCTCGGTCATACCAAACTCCAGAACATCGATTGCGGGTTGAGAAATGTCGTCATGTGCACGTTCTTCATAATGAAAGGCCTAAATAACCAGTGTTTCTAAAGATAGTCTGTAAGTATAGTTTCTTTTATTTGATTTTCCGTCTCACATAGGTGCGATATCATTTGCAGATGGCCTGTACCTCTGTGGTGCATTTTAATTTGCCGTCTCTTTTATTACAGTTCTACTGAGTTTCCACCGACACTTCCTCAGAGTTCATAATGTTATTGCTCATCTTGCTTTAGTACTTTTGCGCAGCAAAGTTTTTTCAAGAATAGCTAGTTGATGATGCGTATATCCCGGAGAGTGCTCTGCAGCAGTTAAGCGGAATTGTACGAACGACAGGCGATCTGCAATCAGTTCGCCGATACTGAGTATCCACTTGGGTATATTCCACTATTCTCGTTGTGCCATCGCCTACTATGGTAAGAGAGTGGTTTCTGCACTTATTGTCCATTTGAAATGTACCGGACCACACGCCTTAATCGAAGACTTCATGAGGTTTCTTCTAACCCACCGTCAGTGTTGATCGTCCAATCTCAAGGATAATTGGAATCCGCCGTGCTTTCTGTCGAAGTAATCACCACTCCAAGTTCCCACAATTAAATGTTTGAGATCTTTCCGTTTTTCGTGTCAACCACAGACTGAATGAACCTTGGCTCAAAAGGCTTACTGCTAGGAGCTACAAAGTGGTAGAGAAGCATCGCGCAGGCTATCCTGTCGCATTCGGATGCTTCAGTGTCAACAGAATGTCCGTCCCGTCAGCTATGTCGAGCATCACCTGTCCGTTGGTCGGAAGGTTCGACTACTTGTCATCCGTGTTGCCTCAGGACGAAGGGAACATCACTGAGGTTATCGTGTTCCAGAGATTCTGATTGTGTTCGGATAATGGCAGTACTGTAGTACGTCTGGAATTATAGGTCAGTCGACGAATCATCACGGTAATTGTGGGTTATTCCAGCCTGTATAATATACCTGGTGAAATCAAAGAGGATCCTGCATGATTTTAACACTTAATCTATGAAGTGGTTCTTTGCAGCGAGCCACCTACTTTGTCCTTGTTAAAATCTACGCTGCAGAGCTCGATATAGCTCAGTAGTTAAGAAGCGAACTTACTGAATGGAAGGTCCGTGGTTCTAACCCAACCTCAGCATCTCGATTGCTCTTGGGCGACCTAACACTATTCCAGATCATGTGCCTCTATCGCGTGAAACTAGGGTGTTACAGCTAGACGATTATTATTATTTTTATCTGCCCTGCACTCAGCCACATAAATCGAGGTGTTCGGTGATTCCGGGAATGTGAACCTTTTTTTTATTTTCTAAGTTTGGATGTAGGTGATTTCAATAAGTCCGATGCTTCGTTTCACCTACCTTGCGCAGTGTAGTACGCCTTTCTGCACACTTCGATTCTCAAGTCGATGGTTTGACGATCTTAGTATGTCAAACCACTGCATCGTAACCCCGCATTCTGAAGTTTACTGTAAAGATAACTCTATGGGTTCAGTCAACTGGAGGACGTTTTTAAGGGATGGAGAAGTCATCGCTTCGCAGGAGTTTGGGCAACCTTCCTTAATCTTATCTGGGTTATTCATTTTGTTTGGAAGGGGGGACCACCCACCATAGAACCCGGTTAACTTGATGAACAATGTTACTTTCGCACACTATGTTCGTCCACTCAAGCCTCCTCACATTGCAAACAGGTCAAAAGCTATGTATCAGTTTTGTGTATACTGTGCAGTTGAATCAGCTTTTCTTGGTCCTAAAAGGTCTTCACCCAATCCAAGGTGGTCCCAGATAGTAGAAAAACTCGCTTATACGGTTATACGATGGGTCGGTAATGTGACGTGCCTGGAAGCAACGCTATGGCCACAGGTCCAGTGCACGCGCTAATGTCGAGAAACTAAGTTGGAACTCTTCCAGCTCTTCTCCTGTGCCTCTACCAGGAATTCTTTTACTCTCTCGGTCGTCATTCTAGGTAATAATCTTCAAGGTGAACTAATGCAACTGCTGAAGTTTTCGGTCCTGGTGTGTTGTCCCCGGTCTATCGGAAGAATGTTTTGCCACCTTTACTCCTCGCTTGCGGGTTTTTTAATAGCTTATTATCGACGCTTTGGCGTCTATCCATTATTTTTTGCTTCAGAGTGGAGTGGTTAGAATACCGTTATTTGACCACACCGACCTGATGACGACTATTCACTAAAACTTCTTGCAATGAACTTGGCCGTGACACTGTCTATCTCACGTAGCTAGTTCATTTTGCAGATGCGATACATTTCCCTCAACAGACACAGCTCTTGTAATGCACTACTCTTCGTTACTTCTCACCAACTCCGGTTTTCTTCAGAGGGGAGATTCTTCGCACTTTCCTGTATGAATTATCTTCCCTCATCCTGATTCTGTTGCAAATGTGCCTATGATCGATTGTCCACCCCGCGGTTCTGAAGTTTTTCTCAGCTTTCAGATTGCCTTCACTACCCTCGTGGGTTCGATAAGGAAACGCAGAAGTTTGCGTACGGTCGTCTTCATTCCCGTATCATCAGACAAGTGCAGCGATAAAATACATAACTAAGTTAAAATACAAATCGCTGCTATACTCTTTGTAGGTACCATGGCACTTTATTCAGTGTACCCGCTTTCGTTCTTCCCTTAAACCAACTCTTTTTGAACATTCTAATCCATTCATTTAGGTCGCTTCATTTGTACTGTGAACGGCGAAAATCCACCACCTACTAATGCATAAAGCTTGGCTCGGCTTGAAGTGGCCACTAATCTTTTCATGCTATGGTTGTCCAGGCTGACACAAATTTTATCCATCTTTTTTGTTTACCGGTAAACGTCGCCAAGCTCGAAGCCGTGCTTCTTGTTGTGTGAGCAAACCACTGTTGACTAGTTACTCACCACTCTGCCTTCGGGTCGGAGTTCTGGTTCTAGATGTTTTCTCTGTCCGCTTGTCTCTACTTCCAGTCCAAAGTTTCTGGTGCCCTTCAATGGAGCGGTAATGAGATTAAAGTCCCGCTACTGAACTTCTTGGAATATATGTATCGATCTCATCACACAGCCCTTTTTGTTTTTGGGATTACTAGCTCATGTGCTCACATTGGTGTTGAACTGCTATGTTTTCTCTTCAGATCTAAAACAACAGCAGCGCGTGAGACAACCATGAATTCCGTCCCCGGGGTACACCCCTCTCAAGCCCCTCTGCCTATACCCTCTGCAGCAGTGACGGGACAAACAGCACTGCAAGGTGGCCAGATGTTACCCTCAGTTTCTAAGCCTGTGACAATTGTAGAACGGGTTCTCACGTTGTATCCTTTCACTCGTAATCAAAATGAAGAGTTGTCGTTCGACACGAATGAGGTGCTTGAGATTATTGAAAAACCGCCAGACGATCCTGACTGGTGGCGTTGTCGTAATGCGCGGGGCGAAACAGGTCTTGTCCCTCGAAATTATGTCAGCCTGCTCCCCAGTGGCCCCGCCTCATCGCTAGGAGAACATGCCGTCCCGCAGGATACGGGTCAGTTCAGTTTCCCCGTACAACCCACTGAACCGGGCCAATCTAGTGCAAGTGAGGAGTTGCGACTTACCTATGCCGTGAGCTCTACAACAACACACGCACATATGGAACAGCCTTGGTTTTGGGGTTCCATATCCCGCGCTGAGTGTGAATCTATGTTGACTCAATTCGGAAAACCTGGCGAATTCGTCATACGTGACAGTGAATCCCATGTAAGTTTCTTCCGATTTTACGGATAGCTTAACCCCGTTACCTTCTGTTTCTGCTGATTGATTGGCTTTTACTCGAAGAAAGTATCTTTTAAAGGGTTTTAGATGCTTATCTAGCTTACACGACACTGGACTGGCTTTGATGACTGTGCAAAGCGGGTACTTTCGAGAAGTTCTTCCTGCTGAAGAGAGTGCCGTGAACATATATTGTTGGCACGGTGGTACGGGGTTTTCACTTTCTCCCGTATGTATGCGATTTGTGCCACATTGTTTTACTATTGACCGAAAGCTTCAGTGTGCCATCCAGCCGTCTAGTAAAGCAAACAGCCAAGAAATGGGAAGTATCGTTCGTCTGTGTCTCTAAGATTCGAATACCCTAAGGTGAATTAAATTTAAGTCCATAGTGTCGATGTGTTGAACTGGTAAAAAGTAGGATATCGCAAAGAAAACATCGGTAAAATGCGCCCCTTACAGTAGCTTCCCAACCCAGCCATTCTTTAAAGAACTTTCTATAACAAGGATATCAATTTTTACCGGATAGAACATCTCCTATGCATTAATCTATGAATTCGGTTATTTTGATAGAAGACGAACAGATATGTTTGGGAAATGACAAATTCACACAAATAATGAGCTGTTTGGGACATTAGTGAAACGTATCAATCGCGAGAAATTACTGAAATATCTTGAATACCGTTCAACCAGAACCAAGTTTACCAACAGGACGTACCATCTCCTTCAGCCGGCGTGTAATCTTATGATGTCCCAGGTACCCCTGAGCCCCACTTTTTGCTCTCACTAATTAGAGGAATTCTTTAAGTCTTCCCGGGAATCCTATTTCACACGTTATTCATCAGTTTCTTCGCAGTTCTAGTGATGTCAACGCAACGCACTGTATAAGTCAAATTTGTGTGATTCTAGTGCGTGGCCTTCATTTCACTGTCCGTTAACAGTTGCACATTTTTGTGCAAATAATTAGTCCGTTTTGCGTTCCATCGTATTGTCGAGCACCAGGTCAACAGAAGCTAATACGTTATTCCCACAATGCACCTGAGTACTACGGATACGACGTGACATGATGATATCTTCTAGCGTATTTGACTTTTCGTAACCACAAGTCTGCATGGTAAATCTGATGAGAGCACACGACCGACTCACTACTCCCCACAAGACCGTCTTTATTGCCCGTCCTGTCTGAAGTGAATACCGATTTCTGGTAGGTTCGTCATAGGCGTGCGCCATACTATACCTAGTTGTACCGCCAGCCATAACGTTTGTGATTCGTAAATTGGAGCTCATATTCCATTGCTTGGTTTAATTTTTCTTCTAATAAATGTTTTTTCGGCCTTCGGACGTATGTATTAAATTATTTTCTTGGTTACATCAATACAGTGGATCCGTTTGGAAATTCGGTGTTTCGGTGTGTTCCTATTCACAATGCACATCTTACTAGTGAATTTTCAGACCCGGGCCTAATGGTTGCTGTTTACCAGATAGGTCCTCCACGAAGGTCGAGTTATTGCGGAAAAGAACAGTTTGGTTGTTCACCAGTAGTGGCACATTAGTTCGTCGCCTGGGCCAAGCTTAGAAGTGTCTCGATCCATGAACGCCGTGGTCACGTGTTTCTGCGGCCAAGATTAGAAGCACCATGTAACTGATTCTCTCACATTCATTCGATTAACCCCAGTCAAAGTGAATGCATTTTAGATTGTTTTCAGGATTTCCATCCAAATCTGTATCCGTATACATTGGCTTCATCTCCTCTTCCTCGACTATGAACGTTGGTCCGAAGCAATATTTGCACTGATCTGTAAGCGGGCTGATTTCCAGTGCCATATACCAAAAACATTCTGGTCCCCCAAACACTCATAAAAAAGAACCGTGTTCTACCGTTTCTGGTAAATTTGTTCACAAATGGACAGGTGAGGCTTCATCATCATTACCACCATCGACAACATGGCATCATTGTACAACACTGATGCTTCGCTGCTGCACAACCATGATTTATTTGAATACCTTATCGCAAAGGCAAGAATAAAAGTGGACGGGAAGGGGCTTCATGGCAGCTTACTACGATAATTCCGAGGTGCCTACATCTCCAGACACCCATCCACGCAATCTGTATAGAAACTGACATCGATTAGCAGCATATCTTGCATACGATAATTCCGAGGTGCCTACATCTCCAGACACCCATCCACGCCATCTGTATAGAAACTGACATCGATTAGCAGCCATATCTTGCAGCGTCTCCAACCAGGTGCAGTGGGGATCACGCGGTCCCCATCCTCGAAGGCAAGTAGCACCAACAGCACCCAAACATTTCATAATCTCTTTTATACTCCTCTGCCAGGTCAAGAATTGGCTACCTGTCGGAAGTATTGTTTATCGTCCAGCATAGGATTTCAAGCACTTTTCAACCCTTCAAATAGTTGGACAATTTCAGTAGTCCTGGTTGAAAGCAGCAGCATCTTTAAAAACCGCGTACCTGCCGTACAGTGGTTATGGCTCCCACAGTTTCGTCCTCCGTTGATCTGGGGGGTAGGAATAGATAGTTAAGCATTGGATGCAGTTATTGATGTGATTGATGCGTCACTACACCGGTGTCAGTCGGCTTTTTTTGGAAAGGGAGCTATGCGTTAAAGGCAACAGGTTGGATGCATGTGCCCCATTGAGCGTGCGACTGGACTGTCTGACAATGTCTCCTCGGGGCCCAACTGAGTTTGCTTGCAATGGCTTTCATTATTCGCTGCTGAGTCATTATTTAACCTCCCGTGGTTTGTTACCACCCTTCACGTGGTTGCGCGAAAAGACCCCTTCGAGTAATTGGGTCGACTGGCTTATGGAGTACGTGACCAAACCAGCGCAACCTTTGGATTGTGGTAGGTTTATCTACCATGGACGAGGTTGATGTACTTCAGGATTACTCACAGGCTCAGGCAATGCTATGAAGACGTCTATGGTCAAACGTTGATGGCTTTTTACGTCCTCAATGCGCAGCAGCCAGGTTTCTGACCCGTATAATTAAATGGAATGCACCGCAGCACTGTGAGTTCGACCCTTAACAGATAAACTGATATAAAGCCTGCGCCATATGTTGTGCGGTTTCACAAAAGCTGCTGTCTCAATCGGCGAGCATGGGGTTAGGGTTTGAGCTCACCCAGTCTTGCGATAGTACCCTACATTTTGCAAGTGTGATATGCATACCAAACCGCGAGACAGAATCTTTGTATTAATTAATATTGTCCGCACTAAAAAGTCGTCAAATCTGAGGAGTTATGTCCACCGTGTACTCACCCTGGGAGCAGTTCAATTCCACCGGCGTTAGAGGCCAAGAGTAAGTCTTCCACAATATCACCAATGTCGAAGTTGAAGAAGAAGGATGAAAAGCGGCAGCCTTGCCCGACATCACTTGATCTAATGAACTCAGACGATAGCTTTCTATTGACCTTCACACGTCCCGCCTTAAAGAGGGTCAAGACTTTTGAGGAGTACACTTCTGGACTGTATTTCGTTGGGACACATGCCGATACTACAAACAGGCAGTCTTTTGTCATGTAGCATTAAACTTCATTGAATTCGATAACTGAACGTCGCAAATATGACTGTTCACCGGAATCCAGTCCAGCAAAGCGTGTTCAGCAGCGCAATCTCCACACCATATATCCCACGAGTCATCGCTTGGTCTGACTGCTTCCTTTTGGCCTTCCTGGTATGGTTGCATCTTGTGGAACGAAGGTCCAGCCAGTGTAGCCCGTGAGATCATTGCAGCACTCATGCTCAACCGACACGTCAGGGGCCTTAGGTCGAGTTGGTTGGAAGTAGACCGTATACCAAATTTCTTGTGAAAGACTTCTAAAATTTGTTTTCACCGAACTGACAGGGAAATGTTGAAACTAAATTTATTCCATATTGAGAAATTCGTTGGACTGTACAGGATTTTCTTCGGTTTATGCATTCAGCGTCAGGCCCTTGAAATGTGCTGGGCCGCGACCCCCTCCACGAATAATGAGCACAGTGTGTGATATAGACAGCTGTAGGTTGCGAACTTATCGGTCTCCATAGAATGCATGCAACTTTTACAACTATATCGGTTCATAGACCTCCTTAAACTGAGGGTAGGGCTACCGCGTCCATCAAAAACTGCTACGCCCATATGTGCTGGGATCCCCTGTCATTTTGACCAAGTCACAATGGCCACTTCTGGTTGAGCTAACAGAGCATGCAATTCACATACTATTCATAAACCCCGGACCGTACCGTTGAAACACAATTCGTTGCACATGGCGGATTCATTACCTGTTTTGACATCGTTTGCTTTGGCAGTTTTGACTTCTTTGAATCTAGAGTTATGTGAATTGGAATCGAGCACCCCTCACAGAACCTCACCGTAACATCAATACTGAAAGAAGATATGTCGCGAGACGTTGAACGCTCAAACCGCTCACACACAGCAATCAGTAGCAGTTGGACGGTTAGGGAAATGCAGGCAGCAGTATAAGCGGGTATCGCTTGATCAGAACCACAGCAACCAGATGCACTGCGAAGAACCGATTGATGAAGTATGATCAATAGGGCTTTACTGATTAACACAAACGTTTCGGGTTCTGGTTTCGCAGGACACTCGATCGACTTGCAGCAAGGATTTGCCAATGGATGTAGGTCCACCTTGTGATTTCTGGCCTTTTAAAGGCAGGTACTCTGTTGCTCTGAGAACACACCACGACATATTTTCCGCCATGCCTTTTGATAGACGATCTATTTCAGCAATGTATCTTCAAGACTGCAAGTGTTACTTAGATGGCGAATAAATATTATGAACGACCTTCACTCCTTTGAGGAACGATCCTCCATTGGTCTAAGTAAGCTGTATTTGAGTAGTCATCTATACCCGCCTTACAAATGAAGTCAATTTGCGTTTCATTCGCTCGTGAACCGGTATGCTGCTTACACTACAGTCGTTCGAGGTAGTTCAACGTCATAAATTTCTGTGAAACGCCCTGGGCTGGCAGTAGGGATCAGTGCTTTTCCAAACTTGTACGTCCTTTTTTGAGTGGATTATTTGTGCCACGTGCAGTGCGTCGTGCTTTCCGTCCGCTCAGGCTGCGGTCTCCTAGGCCACAGCTTTCTCCATAGTCACTATCTACGTGTGTTTGGCCTGAGAATAGGACACACTAACTAAAGCCTGCTTAGACCACAGCAACACCCAAGCGCATTGCTGTTTTAAAGGTACGATCCATCGCCAGTGAGCTTCACCGCTCGATTGCTGCTCAGCCTATCACATTTTTGGCCCGTTTGGATCTAACGGTACTACAGAAATTCAGCTGCTAACTGGATGCATATGCGCGGCTAGATTACCGGGCTCCTCTCACTCACCTCATTCAGCACTTTATTACAAGGTTCTTCTGACAACCCGGCGGAAAAAAATCAATCAATCAATCATCCAAGATTACTAGTCAGTTTTCAAGTTGGCCTACTATGGTTTAGTATTTTGAAAGGGTTTGAAATCCCACTGGTGTATGAACACGCTACACTTAACATAGTATCTTTGCTTTATATAGTGGAATCGTCTTGTGGTCATAACTAATCGCAGTCAGTTGCTTTTTAGATGTGCTGTTGAGTCTGCAGACCACAACAAGTGTGAAATCCCCCACTCGCGCTTCATGATTTGAAGTCACAAGGTTTTAAATATTCCGTTATTGAAGTAGTATCCATTCAAAGGTGGCCGCACATTCGTTTTAGTTTTGACACTGGAACGCCGAATAGAAATTTGTACCAACTTATCCAGTCTGGTCAGTGATCAAACGCTACAAATAGCTATATTATGAATGGCTGTTTACATGGAACGAGTCAACCGAAGAAGCCATATGCACTCAGAGATGTCCTAACTTTTGAAGTCTTCAGCCAGCAACTTCTGCAGATTGAAATTACGCAGGAATATGAAATCATACTTATTTTGGAACGTCTGCGATAAACACCCATTTGCAACTTAGATATGTGTGCGGGAGATTCCGCTAAAATGTATGTGAAGCTCTCGTTCATAATGTTCCTCGACTGAATCCGATGCGCCAAAGCCCCCTCAGGTTTCATTTAGATCGATATCCACGATATCGAAGTATGATTCGGTGAAAACTTTTGTCTGCTCACTATTTGTTTCATCCTTCTTAGGGCTTATCAGGTGGTTTCTCACCGATTTTATTTCTTACTGGAACACCAATCTGTGCGTGTTACGAAGAATACTCATTTTCAAGTTGAGTTGATTTTGACAGGAGATTCAGTTGAAATTCACCTGAATCTCTCATTAACACTGTTATAATTGTCCAAACTTTTTATCGACCTTACGGGTAATGGTAATGAACTGACAGAACGATAGGCCACATGATAAAAACAGAGATTTCACTAAGGATAGGGTGAAGTCGTGCGTGCGACTCTCGACGATTCGTTTGGTGGGATGTATCATGAACCGTCAAAAATTCCCCGAATGGACCGCAGCGACACATCTCGTCACACTGTCGTGTTGCACAATTAGAGGAATGCGGTCTGAGTATATGATCTCTTGCTCTTGGTTTTGTAACTCAGCAGTAGTAGTTTGTCCACTCCTATGCTTGCTGAGTTTCCGCAACTTATGTTCATTTGGGATTCTTACATTTTTTGCACATCCTTCCTGCAGTCTTGCTATGCCGTCTTAAATTTCGATCCAGATTGAAACTGGTGAATTGGTTATCTTACGGACGCTATAGTCTTTATTGAGAACCTCACACGTCAACTGCAGGGCAACCTGTTCTTGCAAAGGGCGCTCCCTTTGCTTTTCCTTTTCAAAGGTGTTGAAATAGGGGATCATATGACACACGTACTTGGATTGTGTTGGCCGGAATACAGAGCTGGATGCCACTGATGGACCACTAGCGCGACTTCAGAAGTCTGAGGTCTTAATTATGACAACCAGCTGTGAAAAGTTTGAATGCCGCACGAATAGAGGAAAACTGGTCGACCGATTTGCCGGACAAACGTTTGTTCATATGATCCGACCGAATATGACCTATTGACATCACTCAGCGAACTGTGTATGCACCTATGTCGCCATCCCACAATAAACGAACAGTGTTGTCTCCCTACACGGACGCCGTTTGACAAATATGGTAGTCTATCCTAAAGGAACCACTCCCATCGACGAGACAGTTTTGTAGTCTTGCAATTTTTTTACACTGCGACCTCCATCGCGAAGATGCAGACTTGATTCGATCTGCAGTAACGGCATCACGATGAAAAATATCCCATATTGCCTGACTATCATCCCGTAGTGCTATGGCCGCAGCTGATACACCAACCTACCAATAAACTCGTTTGGGAAAGCTCGATTTGCTCCAGATCCACACGCAAGACTATGCGGTGGGTTATTTTGCAGTTGAAATATCGATCCGAAGTAATACAGCTGAAGGGCAGGAGGGGGCGATGCAAGATAAGCGGCTATTCCTCGAGTTCTCGGGAATCATACTTTCTAGGTTGTAATGTAATAATGGGTCTGTCTGACAGGTTATCGTTTTTCATAGTTCTTATTTCGTGTGCTGGATGGAGAAGATCACCGGTTTTCTAAAGCTCTAAAAGATTGTTGGCTAACCGATTTTTACGAGTGTGTGTGAATCACGGATCTGAAAGATTTCTACTCATCTGGAACATTCACTCCATGCGGAACGGAAAACTCCATCCCATCCTCAGGAAAGATGTTGGAAACAATCTGACACATTAAAGTCCACTAACAATGCAGAAGGTATGCGGTACGGTTACTACCCTCAAGCGGTGTCGCATAGTTATCAAGCACGATAGAAACTAACTCGGACCTCTTACTGGAACGTGGTGTATGCATAAACAAGTAAACAAATGAGACTCTGTTTGGGGATACAACCTCGCTGCTTTTTTCAAGCATGTAAACGCTGACTGTATGTGTATTCTTTTTGCTCTTGTCAACCTCTGTACCAATTTTTCTTCTTTTCCAGCCTGGTGATTTGACTGTCACCATGAATGCGGGCTCGAAAGCGCGAAACTTCAAGGTTCGTATGGAACGCGGGCAATACCACATTGGCCAGAAAGTATTCCCTAGTGTCAATGAACTAATACAACACTATTGCACACATCCCATTTTCAAAAATGAGTCGGAGAAACTCTATCTTACTCGACCATTTGTACATCCGGGGCGGACGTAGACGACAACCAGTGATGCTATTACTGACTGAATTTCATGAGCTAATTGGCGAAGACCACTCTTCCAATGCATTGCGCAACCCCGCGACCCTTGCCTTCCCCAAGTTGTAGCATCCACGAGTCCAGATATCTTTCAAGCAAGTCGATCAAGATAGGCTCGTACAGTGTCGCTAGCAACATCGGTGACAATCCTGGTTCCTTCAACCGTTTTCGCTCATTTGCTACCTTGGTTTACTTCGCAGTCCACTACGCCTGCCGTTACTGCATTCGCCTTCATCACTGCACGAAAACCAAACCTTTTTGCCATTGTGGCGCTTTTATTTACTGTTTTCTTTGACCACTAGTGTTTATCAGTGTGCTCAAAATGTCCAAATGGTTTCGCTCTATTCCAAAGTGTGTGCTTCCAACTGCTGAGTTTTCCGTCCATTCACAAGCTCTTAACCGCTGCATACAGGCAGTCGTACCCATTGAATCTGATGCCGATTCATTTTTTGTTTGTCTACTTTGTCGAACACTCATCAGTTTCCCCGCTGTGTGCAATCAGTAGTAGTTTTTGATGTCTTAGTTCATTCCGCTCCGCTTTGCGCGTCAATATTTTTGTTTCCCCACCCCATACAACTTTGCTGCTGTGCCTTCCCGTCTGTGGCCGCTACTTTCCCCCTCTCTGATGCTCTTTGTACACAGTCCACTTTATGCCTGATCTCATCAGTTCGCAACCACCACTTCATGATGTCAATCACTTTGCAGCCTATTTACTTCCGTTTCAGCCTCGGTAAACCTGTGTCACCTCCGTGTCGATCCCTTTTATCAGACATTGTGGCTCTGTGCCACGCTCTCTGATAGCATGTTACTCTGCGGTCCTATTTCCATCTCTTTTTGCACTATCTGCTGAGCTGGTTTATTGCCCACTGGCCACCCGAAACATCTATCTTTCCTATCATTATCGTCTCTGTTCAGTTTTTTCACTAGTCCTCCACCTCTGGGTCTACCAAATACACTTGACCTATATTTCAAATACTACCAGACTCCATCGGATACGCCGGCCCCGTAGATCTCAGTTACATAAGGCCATTGAATTATGTCCTTATTTACTTAGGTTTCCCTTGTTTGAGGCTGGTGTCTCTGGATTGCGGGCCAGCTCCTCCCCGTGAGGTAGCTACATTCGGTATTAGGTTTGAAATCACTTCGTATTCCACAAAATAAACGCTGTCGAACAGAAAAATATCAACTTCAGAAGTGGTGCCAGCTAAAAGAGGGGTGCACCTAGCCCAACCTTCCAAAATTGTTGCAGTATAACAAATAGTCTGAGGTATAACAATTGTCGACAGTGCGGCGCAAAATATCACTAATTATTCACATTCCTATGAGATTTTGACTTCGCACAAATTCAACAAACAGGCTATTTTCATTTCTGAGGTGTCCGCCCACAGGAAGCAACACTAATAATGCTAATTGTGAAACAAATGCCCACTGGGTTTGCATTTTAGTCGCTTATTTCAACTGTCCTACCCTGTTGAATAAATCTAGATGGTTCACACCAAAGTGAAGCGCTGAATTCCAGTTTCGCTTTTATTAGAGCTCAGCAGCGCATTGAACATGCCGCAATTTGATATGCAAGGTGGGCCTGTTGCCGCAACTCCACCAGCGCACACTGGACACACCTGTGTTATCAGATCTGAACAGGCGGATGCGTGATGCGATTGTTCCGCCCAACGCCTCACGAGTCAGACAGCTGAGATTCAAATCCCGGCATGACTAAGGAAACGTGGTGTTGCTAAGCTCTAAAGAGGAACAGGTCTCGCGTCTAGTGTTCCCGATGATGTTGCCTCACCAAATTATGCCAAGATGTGTGGAGGGCTGTCCAGACCGCAGTGATATAGATGCGCAACCACTTATATGCTGTCTTTGGAGAGGACATCAACATGGTGTGAACTGTGGAGGCAATGACCAGAGCAACTTTACTCGCTTTGAAATTTCAGCACTTGCGTGACAAGCAGAAGACACTGGTAAACTCGTTATAGTGCATAGTGGACACAGTTTAAAAACCGGCTTTACTACTCGAGACTTGCATCCACTGGTCGATTCCAGAAGTCACGTAACAGGGGAACTTATATCCATTCATAAGACGCATGCACTAACTGTCAAAGATACCTTCAAAGAAACGACGGATCTTGTCAGACTATGACCTTCTCCGGGAATCGACTTCAGTGCCGCGATTAGCGGAAAGAGACATTTGGTGCAAGAACGTATAGCGAAGGAAAAAATTATATGTTTTGGTTTGCCAAGTCTGCGTATTGCTTGGAGGCTGCTGTCTTTTAGCAATTTCATAGTTCGTGTACTCAAAGTGGTACTTAAGCACAACTTTGCAGTCGAATGTGCACGATGGTGCATTGTGACCAGACAATCGAAAGCAGTCGTTCTATCGGTGGGGTTTGGTAACCCAAGGTACGTCCATAATGTTAAGCATGTCTCATTGCAGACCTGATGATCGTTCCTTAGTTTTGGAGGAGTAGACCGGACAGTGTCGCGAAAACCAAAAAACAATTCATTCTATACTTGTCCTATTAGTGGTTTTACAGGACTAACCTCGTGTGATCATCACGGAGAGTTGTATAGGTTCGTTCTGTTTTTCGCCCATCCTGTTTGAAGAGTTTGGATACTAACACACTATGGCATGGCTATCTGCAATGTGGTGACGCCTGTTGATCACTCGTCAAACTTTCTCAGGCAACATGCTATTCTTCAGGCCTGTCAATCACCAGTGTTATCTCGAGTTTCTGCTCATATCACTAGTTGGTCTGGACAAGAGGATGGGTGACTTATTCGATTCCCGTGAATAATTGATCGTACTTCTCAGCGTTTTTTTTTGGAAAATAATTGGTGTTCAACTGATCTCTAATTCAACCTAGATCTCTAGTCTACAGATCGCTCCATAAGTTAAAGGTTTAAGGTGTAGGTGAGGCTTGCAAGGGAGTATAACCCGTGTAGTGTGTTCTATTATTTGTTCTCATTCTAGTTTCCGTGTACTTTGAGTATGTGCACTACTCTTTCTGTTCACACAAAATCGTCTTTTACATTTGGAGGTAGGAAGGCCCAGCGGCAATACCTTTGAGGTTTCAAATCCATACCGACAAAGCTTGGGGTTCACGATAGAGAAACTTGTGTTGCAGTTCTGGCTAACGAGTAAAGTTGTATCATATGTTGCTTTGCTACTTCGATAAACTGATCCACACTTAATTGTATATTATTCATATCTGTCCCCTTTTCAAGCCGTTTGGCGATTCACTCCAGTTCCAGCTCGGATGCGGTCGGACCCAATCAGAGCTGAAAAAACAGTTGGTTAGCAGTCTGTTGGTCAACAGCCAGTTGATTTTACCCAGTTAAGAAATCCTAAGAATTGTAATCTCACTGGTCAGCCAACTTTCGTGGCTCGTGTTTTAGTTTCAATCTATTGCTGTCTTCAGATGCCTCTTGTGCCTCACACTGGGTTGGTATTCTGATTGATCAACTTCGGATCTTCAGTAGATGATGTCAAAGAACTAGCTTTCCAAGCAACATAAGTTAGCCCTTAGTAGCCGTTTGGTACGTTTCGTCATTACTCAATGTGCTCTCCTTAGTTTGACGCCTTTGTGGCTATGATCGTTTATTTTTGCTGGCTGGTGTCTGTACAGTACCCTTGAAGGTTAGTCCTCCTTCTTCATTGCCACATGAACTCCTGCGGTCAGTTATCACGTGACCAGCATTCACACGGTGTATCACATTTCAACATTCGACTCCCGAAGACCATTCGGATCACGCTTCGTGGAGAACTAAATCAGGTTGTGTATACGTAATACACTGAAAATTCGCTGACTTCGACAGCACAGCCCACGACCGTTTTTGCCCTTCTTCGGGCTCATCATAAACGAAGGATTCAGCTGGTTTCCAGGTGAGTTTCTCACAAAACAAAATTTATTTGGAAATGAATGTTCCTGCATTTTGGGTTCAAGTAGAACATAAGGTTGATGGAAACTCGGGGACTGCGCCTACCTGACGAGTCCCAAGAAGGACCAAGCCGGTCCTGGGCTGTTGGCGAATTTACAGCAACCTTATGAGTAGTGCATTACAAATACACATGTATCACGATATCTCGAATATCTTAGCGACGGCGGCCTGGTGCAGCACATCCAGTGTCCTGGAAACATCACAAACAAGAGATCCGGCTGGGTTCCAGGTGAGTCTCTCGCAAAACCAAAGTAGTTCGTAACTGAGTGTATTTCCCTATGTTGTATATAGTTGGAATACCTAATCGGCTGATTCTTTCCCAAGTACATCGTTTGTGTGATGACTTTACAAAATGTTTATTCGTAATGCATTACTCATAAGGTTGCTGAAAGTCCGTCGAGAGTCCACGACCGGTTTGGCCCTTCTTGGGGCTCATCAGGTGGGTGCAGTCGCCGAGTTTCCCTCAACTTTATGTTCTACTTGAGACCGAATTGCACGAAATTAGCCAAATACACTCATTTGCAAACTACTTTGGTTTAGCGAGAGACTCACCCGGAACTCGGCCGAATCTCGCTTTTTTGATATTTCCAGGCAACCGAATGTGCTATACCAGGCCGCCCCATGTTTGAGTCGCTAAGATATTCGAGAAATCGGGATACATGTGTATTCGTAACGCATTACTCATAAGGTTGCTGAAATGTTACCGTAATTCCGGACAGGAATCGTTGACATACAACGCAGAAAGTGACACTGTTTCAAGTGGTTTGTTCCCAATATCCTTTGTCCAAGTTATGAGATACTTGAAGGAATTACGTGCCAAATGGGCGTCAAGTACGTTCGAGCTCAAACTAAGACCGTAGTCTTTTCATTAGTTTCCAGTGCAAAGAGTGGATGGCGCCATATGAGTATACCTTAGTTCTCTGAGTCCGAGTTGAAACAGACAAGTAGCCATGGAATCCGCCGAATCTAATTTGGAAGATCACATATTTGAGAGAGAGGAAAAAGCGGGCCCTCGTGATCACTCATGTAGAAGGTATATCAGCTTGTTGCTTCCTGTGCATTACAGTTTCCACGCGCATCCTGCTGCCCCCCGATGTATGGTGTCACATCAGAGCGAAGTCTCTTCAAACTGTGTTCGTCTTTACGACTCGCCTTCGAATATGAAATAACTAAGTTTTTATTCAACGGTCGAGATGAGCCTTGCTATGTTGCTCTTGGCGCACGTGACTTAGACCAAGTATCGTGACCGCACAATCAAGTCGACTGTTACCTAGACTGAGCTGTCTAAGCAGACGTCATTGTCTCATTGATCCACTTTCGGACAACTTCAGTCATAAACATGACTTGTTTATCGGGTTAATGCACATTACAGGTCACCGTTTGAGTGCTTATATCTGTGTGAATGTAATCTTTTTATTCGCTACCACCAATTACAATCTCTTCTGTCTTTTGCTAAATGTATCTGTTTGCAGCGCGACATCAGTGTAGCGTGGATGGTTTGTACCAATCTACGTCGTTCTGTACTTTAATGTCTAACTTGATGTAGAGTTACGGCAGTTCTTCTTTGGTATTTTACGCTTTTCACCGCCTTTCCGGAACCGTCAATTTCGGTAGTTTGGAAATTCATCAACGTCTCTCAAGTAGAATGACTGATCCGAAAGAAAACGCCTTGAATGAGTACACTTGAGCACTCACATTCAAAATGATTACCGAAACACACAGTACCGATTTCCGGCTAACATATATGTACCCGGAATTCGGTAGCAGGGTTTGGAAGGCTAGTGACACCGTGTTAGTTCTATCCAATTTATGAAAAAAAAACAAAGAAAAGCACATGTTGCCAGATGTTAACATTTCAGCATAAAACAGGCATAAAAATGAAGTGGAATAAAAAAATCATGAGCTATACTCGGCTGTCACAATAATTAAGAATCTTTTATGCTTGTACTGAAGGTTGTCCCACTTGGCTAAACAAGGCTTCTGCATACTT